CCTGCTGACGGTGGTGTGCCCCATAGGGGCGAGTAGTGTTGCGAAATGCATTCGGTTCGTTGTTGCCTGGAGCCGGCTGCTAATCACTAGCCACAATGCGCTGCGAGCACCAACACACACACACACACACACCAACACACACACTCACACACATTTAAGCACGTCGCATATCTAAAAAAATAAATAAATATATATAGAAAAAATTACAATACATATTATATGGCATATGCAATGACTTTTCACAACAAGTTGTGAACTCGACCGTCGACGACGGCGTCATCAGTTCTGTTCTGTTCTGTTCCGCTGCGTGTTGTTTTTGGTCTGGTTGTGTGTGTGTGTGTATGTGTGTGTAAGTGTGTGTGTCGCGAGCTGTGGGCTCTTCTTATCAGCGCGTTGCGCGCTCTCAATTCCGATGGGGCTCCATCATATGTGGGGCATGTGGGTTAAAGCTGGCAGCTGACAGCTCAAATCGCTAATTGAATTTGGAAATTCCTTTTAATAGATTTACACTTTTTGTTTTCTTTCTTTCTTTCTTTATTAATGTCATCTTTACATTTCTTTTGTGTAATATCCATGACATTTCAATTCGTTGCGATAAATGGTAGAAAGCCAAAAGCTGTTGGAATTAGTGAAACAATTATGAAATTGATTAATTATCATTATGGGAAACAATCGTTAGATTAAGGTATTAGATTCCAATCGAACGCTCACGTTGGTGATCATAAATAATAAATATTCATCAATAGCTGCAACTAAACCAAAAAGAAAAGAAATAAAAGGGAAAGTCTCAGTTTTTATGTACTTCAAACATTTTACAACCTGAATCCAGTCAAGATGGGAAAAGGGTGGGAAAACAGGCAGACAGAAGCCTCTTTGATATGTATTCTTGATCAAAATCAACAGCCAAGACGATATATAATATATATATAAAGATTGGAATATAAGTTCTCGTTTGACCCGATCAAGTTTATTGTTGTTGATCTAGAAAATACTTTAATATATTATAGATCAATCGCAGCATTTTCATCCAGATCGTTTCAGAATAAGATAACTTGTTTCTTATTCTATAAAATGTATAGAACAGCTGGGTTCAGGGTATCTACTAGTCGAGCTCTCTGCACTGGAGCATTGCAAGCTTTTTCTTTTTCATTTGTTTATTCAAAGGCTTGAACTCATTTTGGAACTTAATCTTTAGACAGATTCTTTGAGAGCGGCGGGCCCCTTTGGCATTTCGGTTGTGCAATCTGTTGTTTTTTGTGTTTTTTTTTGTCGTTTTTTTTTTTTTAGTTGTGTGTGCTATTCAAATATATATTTGGTGTATGTAAAATCCATTTGCAATTATTACGGGGCAATTGTTCTCTCGCATGTGCCACACATAATTTTCGAGTCATTTCAGCGGCCACAGCTGCTGTGGCTTCTGTTCGGTTCTGCTCTGTTCTTTTCTGTTCCGTTCCGTTCCGTTGTTGTTATTGGCGCAGCTTACATAAATACGAGTATGAATACAAATACTCGTATGAATATGTGAATGCAAATATTTAGTGAGTTTGTGCTAACAGCTACGAAAAGTAACAGTTTTCGATTTTAGTTTCAGCTGCTCTTTTTAACTGCTGCCTGGCTCTCTTTTATCTGTTCTCTCTATCTCTCTTTCTCTATCTATCTCTCTCTTTATCTATCTATCTCTCTCTCTCTCTGCGCTTAACCTTCAAAACAAACATTAAAAATAAAAATGCAGAAAAGCGTTACCAAAATTTAATACAAGACTTAAAACTTGTTGAACTTGTTTGTGCTGTTTTTTTGTGCTTTTTTTTACTTTGTGGTTGCTGCTCTTGCGTCCAAAGCAATTTGCATCTTCTCGTCTCGTTTTTACTTTTTTTTATGTGTATATTAATTTTGTATCTTTGTTGGTTTTTTTTTGTTGGTTTCGCTGCCTGCGGTAGTTAATGTATTAATCTCTATTTAATCGCACTGCAGGCTCAATTAGCAACATATTAATATCCTTGTGTAAATATAATGATCGAAGCTGTTGTATGAATGTATCTCGCATACTAACGAGACTTTTGCTGTGTTGTTTGTGAAGGTTATTTGTAGGTCGGGGCGGATGTTAATGTCATCGAGTCGAATCATCGATATCGCGTTGGAAGAGCCTTCTACGATTATTCTTGGCCCACATTTTGAATGGCCACAAAAACTACTTGGCTTGTAGGCAAGTTTATTTTCGTAAGCGTTTTCCACACACACACACACACACTCGCACACACACTTTCGCCTGGCCATAAATTTGGCTGTGTATCCAAAACTGCGTCAATGACATGCCTGGCATTAGTTGTGTATCTGTATCTGTATCTGTATCTGTTGCTGAATCTATATATCTAAATATACATACGTATATATATATTTATATATTTATACTATTCACATTTGATGCTCGGAACACGTCCGCTTTGCGTTCCGTTCCATTTTGTGTAGGCGTCTGTTGCGTTGTTTAAAAGTTTCTATATATCTTTTTTGATTTGTTTTTTGCTGTGTCAGTGCGAACAGCAAAAGTTTTCAGTTTTTCAAAAAAAGAAGATGTACAGGAATTATTTAAATACACGCCATAAACATTAAATACAACCCACATATGCAACACACACACACACACATATGCAGCACACAATCGTCTGGAAATCAACTAATAAATTAAGTTAGAATTCATTCTTTATACTCCCTCGGCTGCGTCTTGGTGTTTTAGTATACTTATTTTGTATATCAAGTTGAAATACGGAAAAGCAATTTGCAGGTGACATCATGCAAGTCTCATCTATGCACATATTTATATCTATAAATCTATATATATGTATATATATATTCATTCACTGACCGACTAAACGGACTAAGCAACAAGTTTCCGAATTGTTTTTTATGAAATTATAAATGCGTTTATTTCGTATTTTGTTTTTGGTTTTTATCTTTTTCAAAAATACCTATAGATAATGTACAGCAAATGTATTGGCAATTGTAGCTGTGTGTGTGTGTTTGTTGTGACACGCACATAAACTGATATCTCTGAAAGGCCAGATAGCGATATATATTTGGTATTTGGTATTTGGTAGACAAAAAAAAAGTTGCTCAGGTTTTTTTTTTGTTTCGATTTGGACATAAATGTTTGCATGGATACTAAATATATTAGTGGGGTTTTATTGAATGTTAAAATAACTTATTTTAACGAGCTATAAATATAAACGGCATATGAAACATCTGTACAGGAAATAGTCAAACTACGAGAATTGTTATAAAAATATTTTATATTTGAAACAACTGAGATTTGATTATTTTTAGCATTTTTAAAAATATTTCAAGCAACAACTATTTTTTTTTGCGTATTTAAATAAAAAGGTGTTAAAATAGAAGTGAAATTATAAATGTCAGTATCTCTTTTATTTTCAAGACTTCTTCCGCTTACAATACCTCATCAATTTGTATAAGCCACTATTCAAAAATAAATCATCAACAATGAATATTTATTTTGCGCGGGCAACTTTACATATTGCTCAGACCGGCAAAAAAACTTCTCATATATTACTTTCATTGTGGTTTTAATGGAAATTCCGATTCAATTGTAAGGTGGCGGTAGATAAGATAAGATTGTGAAAAAATATACAAAAACAACGAAAACAAGAAAGTTAAATGCCAAAAACAAGCAAGAGAAAACAATCTGAAAGGTGCAGACAATAAAACAGGCGACAACAAATGAAATGAAATTTGTGTGGCGTCATCGATGATTGAATCATTTGTGTTTCTCTCAGTTCGACTAATTTAATAAACATTGCTCATTATTAATATAAATACACACACATGAATAAATATATATGAATATAAATATATATCTACAAGCGATTGACCAGCTTAACGTTTACTCAACATTTTTTTTACAGTAATATTATTTATAGAAATTTTTCGTAATACTTATAAACAAATACATTTCGTTAACAATAAACAATTTGAGCGGTAAGTGCGTTTAATTTTGTATACGCTTAAAAGAAAAATAGAGAATTTGCCGCGCAATCAATTAAATATTATGATATCTTATAAATCGCTGTACTTATACGTAGACAAGTGTCTCGCCCTCTCTCTCTCTATCTATCTATCTCTCTATCTTAAACTCGCTGCCAATCTATTTGTATGTTGCTTTTTGCTATAATGATATAAGAGCTATTATTTATGACTGGAACTTTTTTCCGGCTTTTGTTTTTGTATATTTTCTTTACGCTGAACGCTAATAAATTTAAATGCCGCTGGGCTTAAAACAACTTAAACTAAATAATTAATTAAATTTAAATTTAAATACATAAAATATAAAAAAGAGAAGAACAAGCCGCACTTTATTTGTAGTTTGTCAATGTGCATTGCTGCTGTTATGGGCCGTGCTTGGTTTGGTTTTACTCGCTGCTGCAACGTGCAACGCGTGTTGAACACAACACACACACATTGCGAAAACTGTGGCAGATGTGGCTGATGCTGCTGTTGCCGCTGCTCACGCTCTATATCTAGCCAAATAACTAAACCACAACTGCAAAACACATATTCCACTGATTACACAAAGACTTTACAAATATATATATTTTTTCTTTTTATTATTATTTTCAATACCAATTTGAGACCAATATATTTAGTTCATTAAGATTTCTTACATTGTCATTAACTTGTATTTACTTTAATTGCACTTGACATTCACTTAAGCTCATTGCATTCCCACATTAAATGCTAACAAATGCTCCATCGATTTGTGCGCTGCTAATTTTAACTAAAACTCGATCAGTACACACACACATACACACACACACACATACACACAGACTGCACTGTCCATCTGTCTTTGTCATAATCTATCTCTCTGTTTCTGTGCTGGTCAATTTATCTAAGTAAATGATTTGTACACCCTTTAAAAAAAAAAAAAGAAATGCAGCCAAATATTTGGTATAAACCTAAACGTCTATTTCTCTTTCTTATTCTCATTTCAGATAATGTAAAATCAGCGTATGCTCAATAAAGAAAAGCTTACACAAAACCAAATACCACAAATAAAAATCGCTATACTTACAAACAAACAATAATAAATAAAGTTAAAGCGTATTTATCTATATATGCAAATATATATATATAGATATATATATGTATATTTATATATATACTTGTAAACGTTCGTTCGAAATCAAAATTAAACTCTACAACTCTTAGCCAAGACTTCAAGGCTTCAATAAAATATCCCACAAGCTATCAGCTATCCCCCAGCTTTGTAATCCACAAAAATTAAGTCAACAGCAAGTGTAAACGCTACAAAAAATTAAAAAAAAAAGCAACAAGAACTCATACAAAAAATAAAAAAAAAACAAAAACCGCTACCATCTATGCTAAAATATATATATGTGTATACCCTATATATATATATAGGTGCTGATTACTGTGCTAAGAGCTGTTTAAGCAAATCGTATTCAAAGCCAACGTCATAAAGTAAAACGCGCAACATTTTCTAGTCGCCAGCTAAGCTATATCTATTTATATATAGTATCGTCTCCCCCGCAAATTATATACACATATATATATATAATATACTGAAGAACTGGCGCTTGCGATGGCCAACGTTGTTAATGTGAACAGCCTGCTCAATGGCAAGGACTCGCGCTGGCTGCAGCTGGAGGTGTGCCGTGAGTTTCAGCGCAACAAATGCTCTCGCCAGGACACGGAATGCAAGTTCGCCCATCCGCCGGCCAATGTCGAAGTGCAGAACGGCAAGGTTACCGCTTGCTATGACAGTATCAAGGTCAGTACCCAAAACAAAACAAAAAAAAAACAACAAAAAAAATCCCCCTTCACATGAAACCCATTTGCCATTCTGCTTCTATCGTGTATATGTATGGAATGTAGCTTGTAAGCTTTATACTATTATACTTTAATCCATCATGGCTTAAGTACTCTACCAACCACCCCACCCTCCCCCAAAAGACCAAACTCCTTAGGCCCCTTCCACACCAAGAAAAAAAATGAAAATGATAAAAACTGATCTTGTCGCGCTTTTGTTGTTTGTGCTTTTGTGCTTTTATTTTTATTTTTGGTAAATACTCTGTGCTTATATATAAACGTAGTTGAAGCTTAGTGGCTGTCTGTCTCTCTCACACACACACTCTCTCTCTCTCGCTCACTCTTTGTCAAAATGTCTCTGTCTTCTTCCGCCACTGCCGCTGCCTAATGCGCCTTGGAGCCTAGACTTCTGAGATAGAGAGAGACACAGAGAGAGAGAGAGAGAGAGAGAGAGAAAGCTTGTGAAAGCTTGCCAACCTTAAGACCCGGCAGCAGCTTATTGTCTTGATCATGCCTGTGAATGTGGTGCGCCTGTGCTTTTGTCTAGTCGTTTTGCCTGATTACATATATAATATATATACATATATATAATGGAGAGCCTGCTTAGTGCCAGAGAGTATCAGAGATCAAAATAAACAATAATAGTCAATGAATCGGAAACAAAAAATCGACTTGAAATCGTTAACAACTATCCAATCACGTGCAACTCAAACTGTGTAAAAGATTTTTTACAAATAATACAATCTGAGTGGTTTTAGGCGGCGCAACTGTTAGACATGGATAACTACAAGGTAAACTTATATATATTTATATATATAGATATACATTTGATTGATATTAAGTGTTTAAATACGATTTTTAATTCATTCATTAATTGTTTAGTGATATATTCGAAAGCTGACCTTCTTTCCTTAAGCCCTTTAATATTTAAGAATGTTTTAAACTGTTCCCACTCCATCCCCAGAAACTTTGCACCCAACCAAAGTTCCCTTTATTGATCAGTTTCACGAGCTGGCTTACTCGCACTGGCCTCTAAGCGCTATTGACGTTTTCAAAACACAAAATCAAAGCATATTTTCTGGCGTCCTTTTGTCCTTTAGTGAACAATATTGAATATTCGAAGCTGAAACGGCGAAAATTAGCTTTCACCAACAAAAAAAAAAAGAAAAGAGGAGAGAAAAATTTATTGGAAAAGCAACGCATAAAAAGCAAAAGCGTCAAAGCCTGAAAGAATGAGGCGCAGTGTTTCCTATTTTGTTTTTCTTTTCTTTTTTTTTTTACAATAATTTTTCAGCACTTTGTTTTTGTGTTTTTGTTTTTGGTGCGCCCAGCTTGACGTCCACAACAAGGGAAAAACAAAGGACGAAACAATACCTTGACAATGTCGTGGGCTATGCGGAAAATTAAGTTGCCCGATTTTTGTTGTTGTTTGCTTTCTCTCTCACACACTTTCTCTCTCTCTCGTGCTGGGCTACAACTATGTAAAAATGGCAACATAAAGTAAAGTATTTTATATATACTTGTTTAATGCTGACAAAATGCCGCCCGAACATTTTTATCATCATCATTATCATCATGCACGTCATCATCGTCAAATTTGTGACAGCATAAAAAATTACGTTTTTGGAAAATGTTGGTTGGTTGCTGCTGCTGCTGCCTGCTGACTGCTGACTGCCGCCTGCCTTTTTAGGCGTCAGCCATTTGCCACTTGTTTGGTTAACGGCTGCGGCGGCGACGGCGGCGGCCGCTTTTGTTATTTTAACAAAACCCCAAAGCGTGGAGTCGAGCCTTAAAGTTGGCCCAGACCATCCTCCACTCTCTCTCTCTCTCTCTCTCTCTCTCTCTCTCCTTGCGCCCATCTCGAGTCGAGTGTGCAAACAATAGTTAAAACTGATGTTTGTAAGTAGCTGGTTGCTGTTGTTGTTGCTGTTGCTGTTGCTGTTTGGGGGCGCTTTTGTTTTTGTACTTTTCACGCCTGTCCTCACGAGCAGTGCCCTTAATTGAGCCACTGCCACTGCTGAGGCTGGGGTCCTTCTAGTTATAGTCCTTGTTCTCTCTGTTTCCTTATTTTGTTTTATTTTTTAGTGAGCATTAAAATTTTGTTTGAAGAACGCCGTAATAAAAGCATTTCCGCGTCCTTTAAAGTCATAATTATCCGCAGTTGCATGTGAGATTTTCAGTGTAACATTTTTGCTTTAGATTAATTTACATAGAGTATTATTCGAGAGGCCAAATCACAGTCATCCTGTTCAGGGTATCTTGCAGTTGAGCTCATGCGACTACAGCTTTCTTACTTGTTCTCTTAAGATTAATCAATATTTTTGTGGATAAAAATAACACATGTTTCACGTCCAATTGCTTCTTATCCGCACTTGGCCCACAATTTTTCAGTCTAATGCCAATTAAAAGTACAACTAGGTAATCGGTGGGATTAGCTCAAGTGTGGGCTACACTTAAGTGTCTTTAAGATTATTACTAACACAATTTTTGAAAACTTGACTTAAGCTCAAGGGTAGACAAACCCTTGAAATCTCGTAAACCTTTGGTAATTACTTGGCCCAAGAGTCGCAGCTGTGGCAAGTGATAAGCTACTACTTCGGACGGCCTTATGCCCACAATAAACTGGCCAACAGAAATGAGCGTGTAACAGCTGCTGGTGAAAAGCGAAAGGATATGCATACATATATATATACATATGTATGTGTGTGTTGTGTGTGTTGTGTGTATCTGTGTGTGAGTATATATGGAGTAGTCGTCAGTAGTGGTCCCTATGGGGGAAGCAGAAGTTTTTGCTTGGTAGGCAGCTGGCAAATAAAGCTCAGACATTCATTGCCCACAAATTAATTGTGTTATCCTATTAATTAACTATGCAGTAAAGTTGCCCAGCAATTTGGTTCGCTCAGCGAGTTTTTCTGCCCCAGCCGCATGACGTGCACACTTTGCTTCTTCTACGGCTCTTTCTTTTTTTTTTTGTTCAGGCTTTGAGTGTTGTAATTGTAGCTGAGTGTGTTTGTACTCATTTTCACCTCTTTTTTCCCCCCTACCCCCCCAGAGTGGGTGAACGTGTGTCTCTCTGTGTGTGTGTGTGCTTGACACATAAAACGGGAGGCATGCGACAAGTTGGGTTTTAAATGTATAACGAACTTAAACGTGCAAGTAACCAGCATATAATGGATGCCAACCAGTTTAAGGACAAGAGGCCTACGGGCATTATATACACACATCTATATATACATGTATGCATAGCTCTGTGTGTGTATTTGTGTGTGTGTGTGTGTGTGTAGGAACTTTTTCCATGTGGCCACGACACTAATTTATAGTTAAGTTGTCGCATTGTAGACTTTCTAATGGCATTTGCCGTGTCGGGCAGAGAGTAGGCAGCCTTTCCGACAGGATGGCAGCTTAAACCAGTTACTTAATGTGTTAGTCGTGTCAGCTCGACGACAAGATACTCTGCACACAGCTGCCTAGGGTATTCGACAAAAAATACACATAGATGCTTCTGCTTCTGCCCGTTACATATTTTTGCACAAAACTATTATACCTTTGCAACACATTTTGAATGGGTTCAGGGTAAAGGAGAGCAACTCATCTAAAGTTCATTTCAATAAAATGTTAGTCACAAACTGGGTCAATGACAGATTTTGTGCTGCACTTAAACTTGTAGCCGAGCGCAGAAGGCTGCAAAAACTGATGTTATTCATTCATTTTATATTTGCTATCTGCCTTTAAGCCGAATTTAGTATAATTAACTTCTTTTGGGATCAGCCGCAGCTGCTTATTGATAACGCTTAAGGGGAATTGTTAACTAATCGACCAAAGAGCTAATCCATTTGGAGTTTAACCTTTAGCCCTCAATATTGTTTGTTTGTTTGTTTTTCTCCTTTGCAAATTGTGCCCAAAACTGACCCTTTTTTTTGTAGTAAATTGGCATCATTTCACTGTTAATTTCCTCTCAATTTAATTTGACCACAATGAGCCAGCTGAAAATGGCAGGCTAACACAAGGTTACATGAAAACGGAAAAGGGGGCACTCTTCCCAGCTCACTCACTCACTCTCTCTCTCTCTCTCTCGCTCGCTCGGTTGCTTGCTCTCTCTTGCAAGTAGTAAAAATTGCCAGAGCCACAACATAAAACATTTTCCGGTTTATAATTTTCTTGTCACAACAATTTTCACGCCATGCTTGGCCACCGGCCTTTCCTTGCCTCTGCCTCTGCCTCTGTTCATGCCACGTGCTGGTGCTCGCTGCTCCTTTGTTGGTGCCGTTGGCTGTGCTTTTTGGTGCCACTTTATCCCGGCTTGGCTGGCTTGGACGCACTCGGCGTCCTTTTCGCCTTTCGCGCGCTTTTGCTACTTAACCAACTGTAAAGCTCTCTCGGCCATATTGTGTGGCACCTTATTTTTCTATTATACTCTCAACACTGCCGCTGTGCTGTGCAACATATTTTCCACGATTGCCCCACGGCCAACAAAAGTCAAGTTTCATGCCACGCAAATTATGAGCTGCAAAAAACAAAAAAAAAAAAACAAACAAAAAAAAAAAAATAAAAATAAATGAAATAATAAGAAAAAAGAATATGGCGCGCCGCAAAAGAATATGAAAATGGCAACTCTTCCGGCACAAAGTAAACGCCGCACAGTTGGATGGAGGGAGGGGCGGGAAGGGGGTTGGGGAGCCAGTGGCAAGTAGAGACGTAATGCCAAACAATGTGCCCGACACTTTCAAGTTATTCTGTTGTAGTTTTTGCCCGATGCTGTTTATTTCTATGCCATTTTCGCAGTTGACGCTCAAATTTCCGGCCGGCCTGCGGCTCGTGCCACACGGAAATACTTTGATAATTACATTTTAAAGACAACGAGAAATGAATTTGCAACTTGCTTTCGATTTTTATTCACTGATATTCAATGTCATCCAATTATTGCTAATTATATGTGTCTCGTGTTTCCTTCATGCATTATTATTATTATTATTACTATTCATTTTTTTATCTTCAAATTTTTTGGGAAAGCAATTTGCCATTAAACCAGAATAGCATTGAAATCGATAATAAGCAACACAAAGAGTTTTACACACACACACACACACACACACACACAATATTTATCGTAAAAATAAACAATTGTGGTAATAAAAAAAAAAAGCGACGATCCAATTTAAATACAAATTTGTTTTTCTATTTTTGCTCATACAAAGCGCATCTCGTCGAAGCTGCAAAATAGAGCGCACCACACAATGGCGAAATGGAAAGACCCTCAAGTTGGCTCAATAGTTTGCTTAAAGTGCGGTCGGAATGAATGAATGAATGAATGAATAAATGAAAGACTCAATGATTGAAATGATAGATAGATAGATAGATAGAAAGAAAGAAGGCAAGCAAAAACTTTGTATTTGGTTTTTGGCTGTCATTCGCAAGCAGATGAAATTGGAAATTGCTTGCAGCTCATCGAACGAATTATATCTGCCATAATGTCGGAGCTGACGATAAGCTTACAAAATTAATGAAACGCAAAATGAAACTTGAAAATGTTATTCACCAATAATACCAATAGCAAAACAAATACATTTCACAGCAGCTGTTTTTGTGCACTTGAAAAATCCGCTTGACAGATTACACTTTTCACTATCGATTATTAGTTTTCTCAGGGACTTTTCTTTCATAATTTCCATTTCCAATTAACATCAGGGTTATACATAATTCTCAAACTCGCTTTGACACTTGCCGGGTGGGCGATGAGCTAACCGGCTTAAGTTCGCCACCTCTAAAGCTCTGTGAAAATCTGTGTTCAAGT